AAAAAATAAAATAAATGATGAAGTCTTTTGTGATAAAATAAAGAAATTATTAGTTTATAAGTCTTTAATGATAAAAAAAATTAATGAAAAATAAAATAGAATATGAAGTCTTATTTGATAAAAACAAATAAAAAACGAAGTCTTATGATAGAAAAGATAAATAGAAAAAAATAAAATGTATAGTCTTTTCTGATAAGAAAATACATAACAAAAAATACAATAAAATATGAACTCTTTTATGATAGAAAGAATAAAAAAAATAAAATAAAAGATGAAGTCTTCCAGGATAGAAAAAAGTAAAATAAAAAATGAAGTCTTATGATAAATAAAAAAATAAAAAAATAAAAAATTAATTCTTTTATAATTAAAGATAAATAAGTAAAATAAAAGATGAAGTCTTTTATGATAAAAAATAAAAACTGAAGTCTTTTGCGCAGCATTGAATAATCTGCTGCTCTCTGGCGCCATCTAGTGTTTCCTTGCAGTTCGTGGTATATCCCACTGGGCGTCACTGCTGAGCAGAGTCTGCGCGATGCTTAAGTACCCGGATGTTGTTGCAGCTAGCTCCTTTTAGCCTCTGCGACGCCGCTCCGTTCTGCCGCAGCGGAGACTTTCGATAGTTTTTGATCCCAGAAAAAAAGATTTTAATGTCGGGAAGTTAAGATACCTGTTTTATAATGACAGGAGTGATCTGAAGGTGTCCATATTTCCAGGTGTAGTTGTTAAATTTATACGCTGTTTGGCGGGACTGGGTTTAGTATAACAATACACGGAGCCGAAGCCAGGGGCTGAAACGCAGATCGGTTCGGATTTTAACCGCAGCTGCCGTCATGGAGGATAAAAGTTTTACTAAAGAATTAGACCAATGGATCGAACAACTCAACGAGTGTAAACAGCTGACAGAGAACCAAGTCAGGACGCTCTGTGAGAAGGTAGGTACACCCGTCTGACCTCCATTTCATAGTAGGCCCCGAGTGGCTCCGTCTAATTCCTGGATGAGCAGTAACGTTTGAGGATTGCTGTTAGGCCAGTTTTAGACTAAATTCGCGGAACTCGATGCCTTTGGGTTTAATATCAAACACTGTTTGGAACAGAGCCGCCCGTCTTTAGCTAGGTGGATTTTACTTTGGATGTTTCTATATTTTTTTTATAGCGACGGGCCGAAAATACGCACCCTGTTAGCTCATTAAATAGACGCAGCCCACATTAACGTTTATTAATTTTGCCCTGGTACATTTTTATTTCCCTAACAGCTAATGCGGTGTGTATTAAGTCCATGTCTATTTGCTCCCTGTCATGTTTCTAACTGATGGATTAGGTTGCCTTCGCGCCGCACCCTCTCGATCGATCAGGGGTTTTATTGCATAAACCTGTCCGGCCTCCCAGCCTTTAGACGGCACCGCAGGTTTGCTGCAATCTAAATGCTGAGATCCGTTCGGTTCTGAGTCATCCCCGGAGGAAAGCTCTGAATGAAGGGATGATCTGGATGGATGGAGGGTAGGAAGAACCGATCTGCTGCGGTGTTGGAGGAGCAGCAGGCCGGATGGCTGCTAAAAACACATTAGATCATGGAAATAAAACACCCAGATTAATTTCTAATTGTTAATCAGATTTGTGGGCAATGTAATATTGAAAAATGCATATTGAAATGATCAACAGATTCCCACCTGTACACCAATGTGACGTAACTGATCTGTTTTTAACTAGTTTATGATGAGATACGTCACCTGATGAAAACTGCACTATTATGAGCTTTAGTTTTTATGTGGAGCAAGAAGAGAAACTCAAGGATTAGAGTTTCCCTGGAATGGAATAAGGATGGCATTAACCCTTTACAGGGAAAGTTAGTGTTTTTGATCAAGAGCATACCCCCCCACTCACCCCCTTCCCTCAGTGAGGTCTAGAAGCACAAGATCTATATCCAGCCATTTAGATGCTGCTACATGGCTGCACATCTACACACCAATTAGATTAGCCCTTCAATGACATATTACCTACTAGAATTTAAGATGAAAAATATTAAGTTAAGAAAAAAAGGTAAAAAGCTAATTGAAAAGTTTATAAGCTTAGCTAACAATTATATTTAAGTTTATAATCTAAAAAATGTAAGTGCCAGTATCAGCAGCTCTAAGGTTATGTTGGACCAAACAAAATGTGTTTCTTTCACTGATTTTTTTATTTTTTTATTTTTTATAGAAGCACTTTTCATATTTTTCTTAATATATTCAGGCAAGTTGGTGTTTCTTATTACATTGGCATTAAAGTTTACCATCAAATTATCCATATTTTTTGAAAGTTACAAAGGTAATCAGGTCTTATCCTGGATTCCAATAACACCATTGGCTTGAAATTTAGGTGTTCAAAGTATTTCTGAGAGTCCTAGAAAGGGTTAAAACTGAAAAAATGAAAAATTGTGGACAATAACTCAGATTGTGTGATATGAATGTTAACATCTACAAAAGCATGTTAAAGGGTATCAAAACGGTATTATTTTCTGCTTATTTATATTTTCTCATGTTTTGTTTTGTTTCCCCAGCAGCTAAATCAATATATAAAGATATGAAGATCAGAAGCTCGGAGACAAAATGAAGTTTTAATGTTTTATTTTTTAATAGATTTTTTTACTGAATGGTGTAAATTCTTGTCCCTATCATATGTGGGGATAAAAACACCACTCTATCGGTCTCCGCCAAGTGACGTCAATTGTTTACCTCGGGCGCGGTACACTATGCCTTTTACGCCTAAAATGGCGTCTTAGCAACAAATGTCACGTGACTGGCGGAGACCGATTTTCCTAAATCCGCCCCTGTTTTCAGGCTTATGTTAACTGTAATGACTTATCTTGGACAGGCTGCTATGTAAACAGGCCTTTAGTCCTTCGTTTAGCTATGCTGCGGTTGTTTACACTACACCTTTTACACCTAAAATGGCGTCTTAGCAACAAAAGTCACGTGACTGGCGGAGACCGATTGCGGCACATGTACCGGTAGATATGTGGAAGGCAAACGCAGGGCTTGGTTTAGTGGAAAAATTTTATGTCTCTCTCCTGACAGCAGCCCCCCCACCTCCCATCTCCTTCCTTATTCTGGCTCAGATCTGCGCTGAGCAGACCGACGGGCCCAGGTGTAAACGGCCCGTCCTGATGGTCAGCACCTAAAGCAGGACGCAGCAGCTAACCTGGAGCCGCATCAGTGTGAAAAAAACAGCGGCTCTAGCTCTTTGCTGCTCGTTGCCATGGATACCAGCTGTGGTTTCCAGTTAGCTTGTTTGCGGTCACTTGATTCAGCTTTATTATGACGATAAAATGGGGAAACTGACCTTTTGATCCTGTTGTTTATTGTCATAAAGGACAGTGATTTATTATTATAATAAAGTCTCAGATTATAAAACCAGATCAGAATATTTTCTCCTAAAGTCTAGAAAAAAAAATTATTATTGAACACTATTTCATTATTGGGTATTAGTTGGTTTATTAAAAGAAGTGTTTTCCTCTTTCATTCATGTGACGGAACCAGAAAGCTTCAGCTGAGCGTTAGTTGAACTCTGCTGACAACAATGACTCAGTCTGTGGGGCTGAGTTTAGCTAGCGCTAACGCTGGATGACCACCAGGGAGGGAGTCTAGATGGTTCTGCAGGCCGCTGTTCTGTCAGACCAGCAGACCTATAGTCAATACCCCTTTATCCCTTTGGTTATGTACAAAAAACTATTTAATTACTTAGGTTTTTTTTTTTTTTAAAGCACATCTCACCTTGAATTTAAAAAAAAAAAAAAAAAAAAAAAAAAAAAAAAAAAAAAAAAAAAAAAAAAAAAAAAAAAAAAAAAATTTTTTTGAAAAAAAAAAAAAAAAAATTTGTACAAAACTAAAGGATAAACACAAATCTGACGTCTTCCTAATGTGTATTGACTATGCTGGTCTGATGGGGTATGCTCATCTGACAGAACAACGGCTGCTTTTCTTCATGTCTGGATTAAACTTCTACTAAAAGGAGGATATTTGGACCCAGAAGGAACCGTTTATTTCTGCACCGAATCCATTAAGCAAGTTTCAGTGGAAGAAAAACCCGTTTAAAGTTCTGAGGAGATGAAAAACTAGATCTGCAGGCGGGTCGCTGGTTTCTGATCAGTTTGTTTCACTTTTTATCTGTTTCTTTCAGGCGAAGGAGATCCTGACCAAGGAGTCCAACGTTCAGGAGGTGAGTCCCGATCAGATCAATTACTTATTCTGCTGCTGGTTCCAAACATTTGGGTCATCAGACATGGTGGACTCCATCACAGAAGAACCGCTGGAGGCCTCTGCAGCTGGAAACGCGTTGGCTAGGCTTTCTAGATGGTTCTGCTGGGTTTTATATGACCCACCACCATAGGTTCTGGTTCTTCTAACGGATTGTGGGCGGGTCCATAGTTCCCCACTAAAATGTAACTTTCACTGAAAGTACAGAGGATTTAGACCTGAAAAACGGTCCAGTTGTTGCACAAGGTGCTGGCAGTTCTGACCGTGCCTGAAGTCCATGTCTCTGGGTCCTTGGATCAGTTCTGGTTCAGTTCTACTGAGGATGACCTGCATTTCTTCCTTCCGCTTAATTTCCTGTTGCCATGGATACAGCGGTCTGGTTGTTTCTTCTGTTAGCTTTTCTGGATGATGGTCGTCCTCCCTGTGACAGAACTTTTTTCTATTAACGATGGTCCTGGTGGTTCTTAAAACATAACATTTTTCTGCTCTGAATCCTTTTTATCTAGAACACAGTCAGGATGTCTGATGTTTTATCCTGTCGGTCCTGTGAGCAGCGATCCGGATGGGTCCGTTAAAATGTTCTGGAAGGTCTGGACATCACAGGGTCTAAACCAGGATGTTCTGGATCTGGTTTTTGGTTTTCTGTACGGAACCAGAGGATACCGTCGGACCGGTCCTAAACAGAACTGACCAAGTTACTGGTTCTGTTCAGATGCAGCGGGTTCGACTGATCTGAAGCAGCTGCATTCTGATCTCATGGGGTTCTGGTGGTTCTGCACAAACCCGTTGCTTCCTGGTGTTTCCAGAACCTTTTCTGCTTTGCTTTCTGGGCTTCAAATGGTTTATAAAAAGAATCGGTTCTTCCTGGTTGGTGGAACCAGTGGGGATGAAGGGAGACGGAACCCAAACTGGTTCTGTTCTGCAGGATGAAGCTAAATCAGTTCAGATGCAGGAGGAACGTAAACTGGTCCATTTAGGTTTTACCCAAACCGACCAGAACCAGCCGTTCTCTATAAAACACTATTGATCCAATATATCTGTTGGTTACTACGTTGGTTTAACTTTAGGAAAGGAAGTAACTCAGGCCGGTGTCTGGTTAACGCTACCTTCCTTCGCCCTCAGGTCCGATGCCCGGTGACGGTGTGCGGCGATGTCCACGGTCAGTTCCACGACCTCATGGAGCTGTTCAAGATCGGAGGGAAGTCTCCCGACACAAACTACCTGTTCATGGGAGACTACGTGGACAGAGGCTACTACTCCGTGGAGACGGTCACTCTCCTGGTCACATTAAAGGTAACCCGAACCTGGGAGGTCAGCGGCGACCAGAGGAAGTAGCAGAAGCTTTCATCAGAGCTAACCTGTTCTGGTTCTGTTGGACCGGCTGACGGATGCTCCTCCTCCTCCTGCAGGTCCGCTTCCCGGAGCGAATCACCATCCTGCGGGGGAACCACGAGTCGCGGCAGATCACACAGGTCTACGGCTTCTACGACGAGTGCCTGAGGAAATACGGCAACGCCAACGTGTGGAAGTACTTCACAGACCTGTTCGACTACCTGCCACTCACCGCGCTGGTGGACGGACAGGTAAGGACCGCCCAGCAGGGGGCGCTGCCTCAGATCAAACGGTGAACCTGTCCGAGGCTGAAATGTTTGTCTGCTTCCAGATCTTCTGTCTCCACGGAGGCCTGTCTCCCTCCATAGACACTCTGGATCACATACGCGCTCTGGACCGCCTACAAGAAGTTCCACATGAGGTAGAACCCGACCCCGCCTGCCCACAACCAGAACCCCCCCCCCGGCTCTGTAGAAACCACTCTCTGTTTGCCTCCACCAGGGCCCCATGTGTGACCTGCTGTGGTCCGACCCTGACGATCGCGGCGGATGGGGCATCTCACCCCGAGGTGCCGGCTACACCTTCGGACAGGACATCTCCGAAACCTTCAACCACGCCAACGGCCTCACGCTGGTGTCCCGCGCCCATCAGCTGGTCATGGAGGTAAACGTCCCGCTTTATCCAGGCGGCAGAAACCCGGTGCGCCTGATCGGCTCTAACCGCGCCGCCGTCTCTCTGCTCCTCAGGGCTACAACTGGGGCCACGACAAGAACGTGGTGACCATCTTCAGTGCTCCCAACTACTGCTACCGCTGTGGCAACCAGGCAGCCATCATGGAACTGGACGACACCCTGAAATACTCTTTGTAAGTGAAAGAACCCGATCCAGCTGTTGGTGCAGAAAGTTAAATATTTTCTCACCTTTTTAGAGAAGTTCTGATATGTTTGTTTCATTTATTTTATCAACTTTTATTTTGTGTTTTTATTAAAACAAAATAACATTTATCTTTGCAATAGCTTAATAGCTGCATAGGTCGTCTAAAACTTATCTTTCAAAGTAAAACTTGTTTGATAAATAATATTTGTTTGTTTTTCCCTCCACAGCCTGCAGTTTGACCCTGCCCCCCGCCGTGGCGAGCCTCATGTCACCAGACGCACCCCTGACTACTTCCTGTGAATCTTCATCATTGTGGATTATCATCCACCAACGAAGACCCCCCCCTTCCTCCTCCCAAACACACCTTTCTCACCCCCTCCTCCTCATTTTGGATGAAAAGAAGTTATTAATATTTCTGATGATGATGTTTCTGTTCCAGGGAGAGAACCGATTGGCTGATAAATCCCAAATTTTTTCTGAACAAGAGAAGCGACCCCTCTCTGCAGTCGTGTTGTCGATATGCTGTCATTAATGCTGTGCTTCTGAGGAAGAAAAAAAAAACACGTAAAACTATGATCTGTTTCCTTTTTTTTTTTTCCTTTTTTGTTTCTTATTCGTCTGAGAAAAACATGAGAAGATAATAAAATGACCGACGTGGACCAAATGTGCCATATTCAGATCCTTTTACAACATGTTTCAACAGCTTTTCTGATCTTTTTCTCTTCTTCTTTTTTACACCTCTATAACCTGACCTGACATCTCGACACTTCTGATTGCAAATGTGCTTCTTTTTTTTTCTGTCGCAACATCAGTTTAAGGTTAAAAAGATATAGGAACAAAAAAAGTTTGCTTCAAGTAGTCCAGCTGTCAGTTTTAGCTGTTCAGGCTGCAGCCGGCGGTCATCTCAGCAACTATATTACTGTAAGACAACAGACGTATTAAATAAAATGTCCTATTGACAAACTACTGGGAGCGCTTCCTTTTCTGTCTTTTATTTAAAGAAAGCAGATTAATATTCCTGATAAAGTCTGTTTACTTGGGTATAGGGAGTGAAGGCACTCTGCATTTAACAGGACTGTTTCCTCACTGAAAGAGGCCTGTTAAAGGTGCATAAATATGGGGTGTGCTTGGGTGGCGCATGTACAACCCATGTAGAGAGGCCTTAATTTTGGGGGCCATCAGCAATCCAGTGAATAAATAAAGATCAGTGGTACAAATCTGTTCCTTACATCCATCTTTACTGACCACCACCACTGCCCCCTGCTGTTTACTTTCAGGTAGTACCATTGTATGAATCTTTATTGAACACATGTGGCCTCTATAAAAACATGGTTCCTTCCAGTATGAGCTGGTCAACTAAAGTCATTGCTACTCTGTGTTTTCAGTGTGATGCTCTTCTTCACCAGTAAAACATTGTCTGTGGCCATAAAGGGTATAGATTAGAAATGGTTCCTTGGTGGAGAAATATTCGAGCAATTTGGAGATTCCCACAAGCAGAATAAGGATTGTACAGTATGGACAATTTTAATCAAAGGAAAAAAACAAGCAATGCACCTTATTAATGGTAGGCTGTCAGTATTGGCCGCTATCAGCTTTAAAATTACATATCATACGGAGGAGTATAACTCACTGATATAAAAGGAACTATTTTACTGAATAGAGGTGATGCACAAGTCTGCAACAGGAGAAAATTTGAAGTAAAAAAAAAACCTGAAATTTATTTTCAAGTTCGAGCTTTTTCAATGCAAAATGTCAGAAATGGCATTAAGTTCCAGGTTTTATAGAGTGGACCAAAACAAAGCCTTGTTTTGGCTTAGAAAACATGCAAATGGAACCAGAGAGCGTTCTCTTTTCATTTGGGTGTGTGAAACAAGCCTTTTGTCTAGAGAGAAAAAACAACCTTAAAAATAGGGGCTGGACACTCCTCAATATTATAATCCTAATTGCAATGCAGGGACAAAGACTCCCCTATTCAGAGGCACAGACCAGTATCTGGTATTGTAGGCTAACAAAGACTTCAACGACTCCCCTTTCCTATAGCCAAAACAAGGCTTTGTTAGGTTACTCTATAAAGCCTGGAACTCAACTCTATTTCTGACATTTTGAATTGAAAAAGCTTCCTGGATGGGAAGAGAAACGTCTTCAAACTTGGAAACAAAGTCCAGAGGATTGGTTTTTAACCTTTATGGCATGACTATGACCTGGATGACTGAGAATCTTCACCAGCATTCTGAAGATAAAGTATCTGTCCTGTGGGATATTTTTTTATTCAGAAACGGATAACTAAACTTTATTTATAGTGAACATAACAGGCAGTAGTATGAGAACTACAAAGCGTCTGTATAAGTAGGTCTAGGGGGGAAAAAAATCGGTTATCTGCCCCATAAGCCTGTTTCCCTTCTCAACATGGCGCCCTCGTAAATTTAGGTCGAAGCTGTTGGAATTAGGAAGTCTCGCGAGACTTTGACTGGCAGCGCTATAACAAACATCCGGGTCCTCTGGTTTCTCCTATCTGGCGACCCGTCGCCATTAGTGCATGTTGATTATTACGGACCTCATTTTTAGGCAAAATTTGCCACATTGGGTCTTTTTCCAGTTTCCGGGAAACATTTAGCGCCTTGTTAAAGGCGCACTGTTTTCCTTAGCGTGCAAAACCCCGACATTTAAGGGGGTTTTGGCCCCGTTTTGCGAGCTTTCCTCCTCTCCTTCGCCAGGCTTTCCTATCTGAGACGCCATAACCGTGTCTCTGTATTTTTCTCTGGTTTGTTTTGTTGTGAAGATGTCGCCGTGATGGAGTCTCCGCGTTTGACAGCAATGAATCAGGGCCTTCGCCGCCTGACCCGCACTTACTGCAACCCGTTGTTGTCCTCCGTTTCCCCGTTTTGTGCCAGAGAGCTCGGCGGCTCTCTGCCAGACGCTCGGCCTGATCAGCGCTCACTGCACGGAGACAAACATGGAGAAAAACCCCAACAGCAGCACCAACACCAAGGCTCCGCCCCGTTCCAGCTCCACAGGCCCGCCGCCGGGAGAATCTAAACCCAAAGCAGGTACAGACACACTCTGCCAGCCCGCCTCTGCTGGGTGAAGCTGTGGGATGTTTGTAGCTGAACGTCCCGCGGCCTGTTGGGGCCTAACAGCAGGAGGCCGCCTGTTTATCAGGGCGGAATGACGTCACTTTCAGACACTGCAGCTGACAGGCTTCCTGGGTTTCCCCTCATTTATTTCTCTTATCCACTAATCATTGGTTAGTCACATAATAAATAATCAATTGGGTGGAATATCAGTTCTGGATAAAATAGTTTTCATCAGCTAATTGATTCAACAATTTTCTTAAAGACTCTTCTGAAGGTTTTTAGCACTTGAATTGATAAAATTACTTTCTGATGCTTCTGGTCTTTGCTTAACTGTGAACAAATGTGGATTTGACTGTTAAGAAATGTGAACTGTCCCATCTCTGCAATATCCCAATAAAAGATACCGTTAATTACTAAGGAATAACGTTAAACAAAAAACAGAACCTTTATTAAAATTTATTCAAAGATAACTGCATCTCAGTTCCTTATGTAATTTCAGTCTGAACAAAACATGGTCTCTACCTAATAAATGTTTACTAGTCAACAAGGTTAAAGAGGTTTCCTTTTAGATTATTTACCGCTGTTACCCAGTAAAGTCATTTTTGATTAAACATAAAAAGGACATTGATGCCACCTGTAATATCTGTAACAGTTACTTTGAGTCTTTCACCTGTTCTTGTCCTGTGAGTAAACCAGGCACTATGGCAAGCTGTTTGTAGCTTCATTCTGGACAATATTTACAACAAATTTTAACTTTATTTTAAGGATGTTTTATTTGGAATCACAGAATATAGAGAATAACTTTCTGACCAATTCTTTTTATGTAATCTTTTGCTTCTGGTGGCCAAATTTTATATAAACCCTCATGTATTTTATTTTTTTTTTTTCTTAAAGGAAGCAACAACTTATTTCTCTACATTATCCTCTTCCAATAACAAAAAGGCTGCTAAAACTTTATCTCTAACCTCTAAATTCAAAATATTTATTTAATTCCCTTAAATGCTTCTAAGTCTATCTTTACTTTTTCTTTACTCAATCATTTTTTTACCTTTATTCTGTTATTTTATATCTATTATTACTATTTTTTTTTCAAGCAATTAATCTTTGGAAACTGTACTTATTTCTTGTAGTACAAAAAAGATTTAATAAAGCTAAAAAAAATGCTTCCTGGGTTCACAGGAAACCACATCCCATTACATAGTCGGTATGAAGTATATAAATCCTTTAATATAACATGTTCAAATCCATTACAATAAAATTAATGTGTAAATGGAGAAGAATAATACAGATGAGCCAAAAGTGCTAAAAGTCAGATCCCATATTAAACTGAAATAAAATGTAAAAATTAGTTAACTTTTGTTTATTTTTCTAATTATCTTCCGTATTTAACGGCTTTAGCAGCCAAGAGGATCTTAGGACCAAATTCCGCCTGAAATTACATCTGTGAACTAAAGGAAGTACAGCTTCCAAATTATAGAATGGAAATAAAATTGTTTGTATTTGTATGACAGAAAGGCATTGAAGAATATTTTTCAGGTGGAATCACTATTTTAAATGTCACCATGTCGGATTTATAGGCGATTAAACAAATAAAAAAATACAAATATTTAGCCTTGGCAAATTTCTTATCCAAAATAAACACCATGAAAGCCCATTAGAAACTCTGGATGAACCTCAGACTTTATAGATCCACATCTTCACTATAAGTCAAGCATTTTTTGGACTGAAGCATGTTTGTTCCACAAAGGTTTTTTTGTGGGGGGTGAGCTAGGAGGAAATGGGATTTTGCCACAATGCCAATAGTGCAAAAATGGATTTTTCCACTAACAAAGGGGAATATGGTCAGAAAATATGCAGATTTACATTATTGGAGACCAAACTGGACAGAAAATAAGAATAACAGAGCAGCTTATGCAACGCATGTCGGTTACATCACCTGAGGCCTGAGCCTCCAGTTTCCAATGATGGCAGCCATTAGGAGGCGGGGCTAAAAATGTATACCTGCTGTTGCATTAATCTCACAGAGTCACACATGTTAGGTGGAATTAATTAATTAAATCTCATGTTATTTGTTTACACAGCTATAAAACAAAAAGTAGATGTAAGAAAAATAATTCTTTAACTTGATATAGAAATTTTAAAGCCCCATTTGAAAGGCGTGTGGATGAAACACCGTGTGACTGTGTTTGGGCCATTTCTCTAAATAGATAAACCAGGGATGCACCATATTGGGATTTTGGCCGATATCCGATATGCCGATATTTTAAA